GCCAGTTGATGAATTACAGTTTAAGTCACTTCCTTGTTGGCTTCACGAGAGAGAGCGGAAGGTTGCCGCTTGAGACACACACACACATGGAGCAGTGGGCAGCTATTTTTAGCTGTGACGTCCGGGGAGCAGTTGGGGGTTCGGTGCCTTGCTCAAAGGTCTCACCTCAGTGGTATTAAGGGTGGAAGAGAGATTGCTGTACATTCACTCCCCCACCTGCTTCCCACGACTATTATTCATCATAATACTGGACTTAATTTATTTTGATAATAATATGTTCTTTAATCTCAGTACTGTTTGTTTATGCAGGTTATGGAGTCAGTCATGGCATCTTTCAGATCAAGTGAAATGCGAGGCGGCGGTCTGAGGTTCGCAGTTCCCCCGCCAAACGGCTCAGATTTCGGTGACACACCGGCTCAAGAATCAACACTATTTTGGTTAAAAGGGATAACAGAAAACGGTTGAATACACTTGAATTCAAATGTTACTTTTAAATGTTACATTTTTTTATTTCTAAAATTCTTGATAAACGAGTTTAAATGAAATATTGTAAACTATGCGATATTAACCCAAATAAATTCCATTTGTTTTGTTGTTTTTTCCCCCATGGGTGTGCTTGCTTATTAAAAAAGTTAATCTTTTGATTATTGCTGTTGCCTCTAGTAATTCTGTGTGTGCTTTAACCCAAGCAGCTGGGTCAAAATAACCCAGCATGTGTTCTGTCCAATATTTACCCAGCGCTGGGTTTACTTTTTTGTGTAGCCAACTGCTTGACAAGATCTATTTTGTTGAACAGGAAGAAATCGGGAGAAACCTCATGCCACTGCTGTTTAGCAAATTATGTTTATCATTGGAACGTTCTGGTTGTTTGGCTAAGCTATTTTTAGTGCTGTTGATCAAAGCTTTTGAGTATTATTGTAAACATACTTGTTGCTCAGGCTTTTGGTTATTGAGAATGTAATTTGGGTTTCTGAATGATATAAGCGTTAGCAAATGACAGAATTTTTTATTTCTGGGTGAACTGTTTCTTTAAGGAGATAATCAGACTTGTTTATTTCGCAGTAATTCCAATGGGAATTTATTGAGTTTTGAAGTACTCACATTTAATCATGACATTCCTTCTTGGTGTACCACAACTGTATGATGATGTTTACTCCATGTGAGGTTTTGCTTTTGTATGCTGGTTTAAGTTACAACATTTACAATGTTACAAGAGATTTCTATTTCAAATAAATGTATGTTGTTCTTTTGAACTCTCAATTCATCAAAGAATCCTGAAACATTTTTTTATATTGGTTTCCACAAAAATATGAAGTATCTCAACCGTTTTCAACATTGAGGATAATTAGAACTGTTTCTTAAGTAGCAAATCAGTTTATTTTAACATTTTAAAATATATTCAAATAGAAAACAGTTAATTTAAATTATAATAATGTTTCACAACTAATAATCTTCCAGTAATATTACTGTTTTTTCTGTATTTTAAATCAAATAATTGCAGCTTTGGTGAGCATAAGAGACTTCTTTCAAAAACTTTTTAAAAAATCATGTGGACTCAAAAACTTTTTTTCGATGTGTAAAATTCATGATTGTAACAGCAGCTGGGTAACGATAAAATCTAATTAAATCATTGATGAAATACAATCAAATACAATCTTATCCCAGAAAGCAGTGCTTACCATAGCTGACGTTAACATGCCTCTGTAGCTTCTGATGCACAGCAGGGTTTTTTAGAGTAAATGTGACATTGAACGCTGGACTCTGGGCTATGTAGCTGCTTTTTAAGTAGAACAGTCCTCCGTCTGATGCAGACGAAACCTCTAGGTGGTCAGTGAGATTCTGACCTCCTGACCCCAGCCACATGACCTCTGGCCTCGGGTAGCCCTCCGTCTCATACTGGACAGTCACATCGGTGGATTTGAGAAGGATGCTTAACCTCGGCTCGGAATAGAAGGCTGACGACACAAGACATACACAATGATTTACCAGATCATCTCTCACATCAAACTATTAGAAGTCAAAATTAAACGACAGAATATGAATCCATATGACTTGGTATATGCATTTGTACAGAGTACAAGACTTGTTTCAATGCAAACAAAGGAAAAAAATTAATAAATTGATATTAGTGTCTGTAATATTACAAAGAAGGTATTCTCAGTTCCCATTTCTCATTTTGTGTTGCACCAAAAACATTACAACATACAGGTTTGTAATAACATGAGTAACAATATTGCTTTAACTCGACTTTTGACTAATGTTTGGCAGGGTTAAAGTGAAAAAAAAAAAAAACATTGTTCCTTGAAATAAAAAATTTAAAAAAGCAACATTTTTTTTTTCATTTAGTCTAACAATGTACTAGAATAACTAAAACTGACATAAAAATTATAAAAATACAGACATTTAAAAAAAATAAAATAAAAACACAAAATACAATTAAAATGAAACAAATATATGAAAATATAAAATTAATATAAAATATAAAAAATTAAATATATATTTAAAGGGTTCATATGACGTTGGTAAAAAAGAACATTATTTGGTGTATTTGGTGTAATGAAATGTGTTTATGCGGTTTACGGTTCAAAAAACACATTATTTTCCACATACTGTACATTATTGTTTCTCCTCTATGTCCCGCCTTTCTGAAACACATCGATTTTTACAAAGCTCATCCGTCTGAAAAGCGAGGTGTGCTCTCATTGGCCAGCTATCCAGTGTGTTGTGATTGGCTGAATTCCTCAAGCGTGTGACGGAAATGTTACTCCCCTTACCATACTGTGATGCCTTAAATATGAAAACGCACTTATAGGCTGTGAGTCAGCATTATTTGTCAGCATCATAGACTGTATAGGGTCAGCATGCGCGCCGAAGGGGAAACAGGGGAACTGAATTCACCGGAACACCGGCATTGTAGGCTATACTCTCCCAGGAAACAGTCCTCGTCCTCCGTAAAATGCGCTGCACGCATCTGAATATTTGGGTTGAACTGTTCTGGAACAGTGTTGTAAATACAACTTAACCACTGATTTCTAGTTGTGTCCTCTTTTGGAAGACCAAAAGAGAAAGGAAAACTTGAAATGGCATCATATGACCCCTTTAAAAATAAAATCTATTAATAAAAACTACAATAGTATCTCAGTGATACTATATTAAAATACCACTGCTGTACCTGTGTAAACCAAATGCACCACTCCTCTGTCAGATCCCTTGCTGTTGCTCACTATGCACAAGTATTTCCCGGCATCCTTCAGTCCAAAACTGGCTATACTCAGGGATGCATTTCCTTTAGTAAATTCCTCGTGATTTAACTTTGTCCGGTTGAAATAATCGGAGCTTTGTCGTTCGAGCTGGTCTCTCTCGTAGTAGAAGCTGTGGACCACCCGAGCGTCTTCCTCCCGTTGCCATGTGATCACCAAAGCGTTAGAGTTTGGTTCAAACTCACAGGGAAGAAGTGCCGTGGCTCCACGCACCACGAGAACAGGACTGGAGGGTACTGTGACGCTAAAGGAATCTGGAGAAGAGAAAGTTTATACTGAGAGGATGTTTGGAGGAAGCACAAACCATATCAGGTTGATGATAAACCATGATTAAAAAAGTCCCGACGGTTAGTGTTACCATTTCAGATTTTAATTATCATTAAAACAGTATTTGATTATTGAGATTTCAAAAACTTGCAGTAAATAATGCTCAGAGTCAAGCAAAGTTAGTAACAGTCCCACGCAGGCACAGGTTTCATTTTGTGTGAAAGCATGAATGAAGGCAGAGTGCTGAGAGAAATTATCCGAAAGAATGTATGAAAGAATTAATTCTGTCAGGACCACTATCGTCAAAGATGATTGACAATTAGCATACAGTTTGGATTGGCGGTATGGTTCCGTTCTGGGCAAGAACTCTCTGCGCATCCATGCAGCCTAGCATGGATGAGAGCAGGGAGAGCAGCGATAACCCCCCCAGGGTAAACAGAACAGAACCAACATAAATGTATGCAGATATCGTTAAAGTTCAATAATGTTATGTACACATTTTAGAATTAGTCTGATTCAAAGGAGAATCAGAAGGCTGAATCCTGACTGACAGAGGAGGAGTTGGGGATGAAGGAGGGTAATTAGCTATTGAGCAATGCGAAAACTGCTGATACTACTGCGGGACCTTATATATGAATGCTTAGATAGGTGTCGTATTCCCATAGGTTGATGGGGATCAGCTGAGAGTCAGCTGATGCGAGTTTGACTAACGTGACCTGCCATAACTAACGCTACGCTTGATTTCTATGAATGCATTAGGGGAAATGACTCTCTTCATTGTTTGCTGTCAGACAGTGGATTTACATTTTCATTCAGCCTGTCTGCCATTTGTGTCTCAACACTTCGGATAATGAGGTAGCCTATGTAGAACTGTTTATGAAGCAGATAAAATACCTTTAATTTAGCAGTTTGGTTGCTAAATTGGTTAATGAATTAAAGGCTGAATTGTGAGGAATAACACTTCTCTTTTGTCAAAACTTTATTTTAACATGTAATAGCCTACACGTTAGTAGAAAACATGTTAGAAGTCACCCAAACAATATTTTTTGTTGTTTAAAATCTGACCATTTTTAATGTTATTTTATTTATGCAAACAAAAATTGCATAGCTCTGCTAATTTTAATTGTTGTTCGAGTATGAGTACTTTCTGAACATTTCAAGCACATTTTAACATCATTTCGTTCATTTTGAGATCCATGACCCCCGCTTTGTTTAGGGACTCCATTTTCTCCTTTATTCCATTTCTGTTTGTCAAATGTATGTGAAATTTGTTCTGTTTATGACTCAGTTGTTGAATATGTTGATTGATTGATACACACACACATACACATACATATAATGTGTGTGTGTGTCTGTGTGTGTGTATATATATTGTGATGAGCGTCCCGAAGCTTCATCAGCGTCGCCCTGGAAACAAGTGAGGAGCACCTGGCCATCATCATCACAGGCTGATTGGTCACAGCTGCACCTCATCAGGCGGCGGCTACATAAGCCACGCAAGCCCTACCATCTGGGAGATTCCTCCATGAGACTGAGCACTAACTCGCCCTCTCACTTTTCCCACAGAAAGCAGCATGTGACCGACCAGCCCCACAGGAGCACTGCACGGACCCTCTTCACTGGGAAGACGGAAGAGAGCACTCACGGCACCGGAGCACCTACCTGGACCTTTTTCACTAACACCCATCACCCCAATAAATCCACCCTCCGGGGTATTGATTGAGATTACTTGTCGTGTGATTCTTCACCCCGTTACACTGGTGGAGAATGCGGACAAATCAGTGAAGTATCACCGACAAGCGATCTTCTTCACCTCACCTTTTTTCCTTGTTTTTTGTCTCCGGATTCTGTCACAGGCGAGCGCTCCTCCCCCACCATGGACGAAATCCTCCAGCGGCTCACCGAGGTTAGCATCCGCCAGCAACAAATAGTTGAGCACCTCGCCACCCGTCAAGGAGAGACGGAGCAGGAAATTATTGCTGGTGGTGCCACGCACGAGGACGGAGACCGTGTTGGAGCTGGCCCACTCGCATCCCTTGGCAGGGCATCTCGGAGCCGGGAACACCATCCAACGGATCCGCGACCGCTTCCACTGGCCGGGCTTGGAGGCCGAAGTGAAGCGGTCCTGCCAAGCTTGCTCGACCTGCCAAGTGACGTCACCCAGGACGCCTCCCTCCAGTCCGCTGATACCACTGCCCATCATCGAGGTGCCCTTCGAGCGCATCGGGATGGACCTTGTGGGGACGTTGCCTAAGTCTGCCCGGGGACATGAACATATCCTGGTGATAGTCGACTATGCCACCCAGTACCCTGAGGCAGTGCCCCTCCGAAAAGCCACCGCCAAAGCCATTGCCCAAGAACTCTTCCTGCTCTCCAGCCGAGTCGGCATCCCAGTGGAGATATTAAACATTATATATGAATGGGCTTATAGAACAGTCCGTTGGGAGTACGCCTGTGCGAGTTTGGTAATAGAGCCATAGTCTGGATGTCAACAGAAGGATGTGATTACTGGGTTAGTGTCATAATAGATGGTCTGAATGCTTTTGCTTTTGGAGCTCGTTACTGCCGCATGATTACACAAAATACAGGGTTGGCATGAAAACCTCTCTGAAGTGCTTCCAGAAAGGCAACCCATGCGCAGTTGGATATGTAAACTACAAAATCAAAAAAAATATGGACAACTTCAAGGACAGCATGCAGCCCACAAGGCTCCCCGTACTTTTGAATAACTTTTGTAGTTGTTATTGATGAATGCATATTGCATAAGGATTTTTTTTAATGTGAATAGCTGAAAAATATTTAATACAATCACATATTTTTTGCCTGTTCAAAATTCTAATCTTTTTCATTACCATGGGAATCCTGGCACACTGATAAGAGTGAAGGACATGGTTTCTTCAGAGGCGATTATCACTATAGAGACGCTATTGTTTTAGTCACAGACTCTACAGTAGTTTGAACTTGATCAGTCGTCTTGGCTAAAAGCCATTTGCTAGCATATAAATTAGGACAGTGGTTTTGTAATGTGGGGTTTGGGTTTTGTTTCTTGTTCATGTTTTCATCCTCGTCAAGTCTGTTCAAGTCAAGTCAAGCCTGTTCATGCCTCATCAAGTCAAGCCTGTTCATGCCTCGTCAAGTCAAGTCTGTGTCTCTAGTCTTCATTTATTGTTTGGATGTTTGGATTTCACCTTGTTTGAATAAACTGCACTTGGGTTCTCACTTCAACTCGCCTTCAGTGGACTGAATTCGTTACAGGTTTTCAATCCTGATCCTGGGACCCACGGCTCTGGACATTTTGCATGTCTCACTTATTTAACACACCTGATTGAGATCATTGGTTCATTAGGTGCGAGCTCCATAGCTGCGTTCCAGTCCATTTTTTTTTATGCCCTTCACTCGCAAACTTCCCTCCGTCTCATTTACTCGGATATACATCATTGATTACGTTGCATGAGTGCCCACTTCTGGCGGAACCATTGAAATGGGCTGAACTGGAACGTCCTACGCCCTTGATCACTTAGAATCAGCTATGGAGTTGGTTTATTGTTTACATTTTTCCCGTATGAATTTGTTTGGTGCAGCATTCTGTATGTATATAGGTATGTTTGGGCTGTTATAAATGTAACAAAAAAAAATAAAATTATATATTATAGTTGTTTGAGGTGGGGATAAATTAAACGCGATCTGCGATGATGTCACAATCGTGTTGCATTGTGGTCTATGGAGCGGCGCAAAAGAGAATGACTCCCTGTCACAATTAGTGCAATTAAAGTAAAAAAATAATGTCAAGCTTTTCTTGTGCTTTTTTTCTTCTCTTATTTGGCAGATGCTGTGATGACCAACTTCCCGGCAGCAACAGAGTTGGACTCGAGGAATGCAGTTGGGAGGCATTTTAAACAAGAAATAAAACCAATAATTCATAATTTCCTTTAAGTTCACTGTCGGTTGTTTTATTTGTTAAAATAAGTAAACCAACAAGAGGGTTAATTTTAAATTTAATTTGTTTGGATGGATTGCCATTTTGTTGTCTATTAGACGTATATATGTAGTCGTTTAATAGCGGTCTAATTGATAACTAGTCTATTCTTGGGCTATGATTAGACGTCTATTACATTTTCACTGACAGCCCAAATTCAGCCTTGTTTTAGCCTAGACCCATATTCACCGTCTTCACGAAGTGGAACGCACTTCAAAATGGCAGCGGGGATTCCCCGAGGGGAAGTGCTTAGGGAAGTTCACAAGTGCATGTCTAAAAGTGGAGTGGAACGCAGCCCATGAGTTCAGCTGAGCGTGTCAGATAAGGGAGGCATACAAAATGTGCAGAGTGGTGGGTCCCCAGGACAGAAAACCATTGAATTAGGAGATTTTAATATACTAAATTATATTTATGCAGTAATTATAATCCATTTTTTTTCCCTGTTGTAGCACAGATATAAGTTTGGTCTCTTTTTATTAAAGGCACTCGGCAGATTATTGCTTAAGTGAAAAAAAGAGAAAAAAAAAGTGGAAAAAAATTTAATTTAAGATATTGTATAGGTTAGTTTATTATGAAAAAAGCACAAAAATACTACTTCAAATTATATTTGAAATATATTTTCCAAAACATGTTTTACTCTAAAACTGTGGTAAAATCAAAGCCATAAATCTAAATGAGTTGTGTTCCAAATTTGAGGTTAATATCTCAAATTTGCTTTCAGTAACATTATGTTTGGGTACCTTTTCCACTAGGTGAAATTCCTTTCCCATTTGTTTCAATGCAGTCATTTTTGACCGTGAGGAGAACAGGTGTTACTATTTTTGGTTACACTTTACTTGAAGGGGTGTGCATAAGACTGACATGACACCTACATAATCATGACATGACACATGCCATGAATATGAAGGTTTTTTATGCATGTTTATGACAACTGTCATTAAGTGTCATTCGCTCAGTTATGTAATTTTTAATGCAAAGATGACATTGTTTGAGATGTCTTTGTTATGGGCT